GCAGGAATGTCAGTCACATGCAAGGACTGAAACCCAGTGAGAAACTCTCCCCCAACTTTCAACCCATGTTGCTCTCTACAGCAGAGATGGCCAAAGGGCTGTAGAAGGCATGGCCAAATGGAACTGCACTATCACACATGAAAGGCAGGGGAAAAGGGTTGGAAAGCTCGCTCTCAAGCAGGGTCAGGGTCATCTCTTGAGACATCAGCCCTCTCAGAGATACTCCAGCCCTTGTCACCACTGGACAGGAATTAGGATCATGAGCCATATGAAATTGTTTACCCCCAAACTTCATCCTCAGCTTTCCAGTCAACATGCTGGCAATCCGCAAACCATATCCAAATGAAAGTTTGGCTGTGAATTTTGTCACATTAAAAGTATAGCAAATAAACAAGCCAGCCCCTAGCTCTTTCCTCTGTGCCAGTCACACACAGATACGTGTCTCCCACAGTGACCTATTTTTGTCAGCAGCTGATAAGTCCTACTGTCCATTTTATAGGTGGGATTGCTTTCCTTCCCTGTTCTTCTGCCCAAGAAACTTCAGAATGCAACTTGCAAAAGTTGTTGGAGAGGGAGAGAGCATGAAAACATGGGAAAAAATTAATCTCAATGGAAATCCTTGACTAATTGACAGGTTGGAATAAGAATGACCATAGACCCCAAACTATGCCAGGCAACCAGTCTGCTCCAGGCACTGCAGGCTCACTCAGCCAGCCACATGCCTGGCTGTTTTGCTCTGCCAGCTTTACAAGGCCTAATTAGCTCTATTCTTTTTGTTTGTAATTACAAAAGCAAACAGCACTTGGAGAGAGAGGGAACAGAGGAGGCAGCTCCTTCAATGAGCTGAAGAAAATGTTTTAAATAAAATTTGCCTCTCATCAGATGTACTTGAAAATATGAAAGGGAAGAACAGAGAAGAGCCCCGGTGAGTGGAAAAAGGTTTCCAGGCCAGGTAGAAGCAAGGGGGAATAGAGCCTCACTACCCTGGGGAGACATCAGTGCAGGTTAGAAGAGACCATCCTCAGCTACAACCATTCTGTACCTGGCCTGCAAAAAATGTACCCGACTGGTTATGCTCATTGTCACAGCTAGGAGAAGCACAGTACCTTTCCCAAAGGGGCTTTAGAGTGAGAATGATCCTCCCAGGATCCATCTCTTCAGGATCCTGTTAACCCAGAAATGTCAAGGAGTTGTACATAGGTTTTCACAAGATGTAGATCTGCAGGTCTCCTCCTGCTCAGGAGGCAGGACACCTCACACAGGCAGCCACAGCCTGTGCAGACCCTACCCCAGATGAAGCTACAGAAAACAAAGCACTCCTGAAACACAGAGCATCTCTCCTGGGAGCACCTTGGCTCCATTCCCCCATCCCTTCCCCATTCCTGCAGCTCCCCCTCCCCTGCGAGGGAGCCATGTGCCTTCCCCCTGCCCCTTCCTGCTCCACCCAGGGTGCAGCCTGCCTTCCCGAGGAGCAGACCTTCTGGTTCCTGGGCTGCAACCAGAGCAGATTACTGGGTGAGTTTCTGCCAGAGGCCACAACCGCCTGACTCACTGTAGAAGATCTGTCCCCACCTATGTCTGCTGTAGATACACACAGCTAAACAAGCTCCATACTGGCAGGCAGGTTCCCAAAGGCCCAAGCCCCCCCTCTTCTCTTCCATGCACACTGTCCAAGTTCTGCTCAAAAATAAGAAATGAAGTAATGCAGTCTGATTTTCCTTAAAAAAGTCCATTTATTGAAATTGTTTAAACAGTTTATACAAGTTCCCAATACAAGCATCTGCTCCCTGGCTCAGGGTTGTTGATGCAAATACAGAAGCACAGACTTCAGCGGCTCTTTAATGTGACCTGAGCTGCTACCTCCTAAGACAAGGTCTCATGAGGCAGCTGCTGTCCACAGGCAGTTCCCCATAGATAAGTGGAAGCCACATGACCCAGCTCCAAGCGCAGGCCAGCATCAACTCAAGCTTGAAGCAAATGCTCTGGTTGGTTCCTTTTAGTAACTTGGATTTATGTTGCAGAGAGTCAGGTCAAACAGAGGTACAAGGCTTATACAAACCACCAACACCATGGTTGTACATTGCTCAGTCCCAGAGGCTCTCCCTGTCTATAGAAGGAGATCAAGAAATTAGATGCTTCTGAACACACACACAATTATAAAGCCTGGTCAGAAGCAACCAGTTTCCTTCCATAGAAAAAAGCAAGGTCGAGCTTCAGAGAACTGGTGCCATCCTTCTAGGTATTACAAGACTTAACTCCAGACAGCCTCAGCCTGTGTTAGTCAAACACCAAGTGACTGAGTGTTTCAGAAGAAGGGTTGGGAACCTTTGATGAGCTGCATTCATTTTTTTTTTAGATATTACTTAATACGCAAGGATGGCTTTATCTTTAAAATGCTATTTTCTTCCTCTTTGGTGAGCTTGGATTAAAAGAAAATGCTATAACCTTTGGGTCATTTTCCTTAGAATTTGCCTTCATATCACTGAAAGTGTTTACAAGAAAAAAAGACAGGATCAAATGGCAGCATGTGAGGTATCACTGGCAAAACATCAGGGAGCAGCAGTGCATTCAATTTGGTTTAACACTTTTAGCTGCATAAGGCAAAGTGAGATCAGTAATTAAGCCCAAATGAGAAAGACTCAAGGAAATAAGGGAGTTTGTTAAAAAGTGGCCAGTAACACACACCATGGAATAAAGTTTCAAACTCAGTTAGGTACTAGGGTGGGAACATGGAAAAACAGTCACTGGCAGCACTCGATGTCTAAGGAACAGCAGCAGCAGTCCCACCAGAGACACCCAGCAAAAATGGAAGGCAATCATTTTTCTTCAGCTCTTCCTCAACACCAGGGAAACCTGCAGTTGCTTTAGAAGCCTGCCAACCTCTGCAGCCACAATTTTGCAGCCTTTGGCTCAGACACAACCAAGCTAACAAGATCTTGTAAAAATAGCAACGACATACATTATAGCCACGCCACCTTACACTGAGTCTTCTGTTGGCCAGCATCATGTGCATGGACAGTTACTGGTTTCAATTTGCTAAGTCACAGCAATTTAATTGTGTTTGACCCTTTGTCATGTCAATCTGCACAAAAAGGAGGGTGCTGAAGATGACGATAATAAGACAGTACAGGAGCATTTTAGATCTCTTCAAACATTCCTACATGTAAAGTCTTTTCCCTAAAATTATGTTTCCCCTTAAGCTATTGGTTTCATCACTTTGTATGGAATATATGTTCCTTTAATCTCTACACACACCACACTGGGCTCTAACTTAATGGGATATGGGACTGAATTGTTACCAACTATTTTTTTAAAATAAAAAAACTAAAAAAGCACCAACATCCATCTAAAAAAACCAGTATCTTTTTTCCCTTTTACTCCCAAGTACTAAACTTAACCCAAGCTTGGAGGTTTCATCTTTCCAGTGGCAATACCTATGAACCTAGGCTAGCCTTCCTCCACGGGCTGGGAGAGAAAGGAGAAGTTATGTCCAGTAGCAAAGAGGATTACAAAAATATACAAATTTTTGGGAGAAGAGGAAGGCAGAACCCAGAGTCTGAACTCTGCTCAGGACAGTGGCATTGTAGTGTCCTCTCCAAAATGCTTTCACTACCAGTTCTGGTGGCTCCTCCTCTTTGTTTCATTATACGTAATCCTTCCCTGTGGAGGGGGCATTTTTCGGATAGCCTCGGCTGGGTGGATATGAAGTTTCTCTCCGTGGACAGGAGCAGCAGAGGAAGGCTCCCCCCAGCATGGCCAGAGAAGCAGCTGCCCAGCCTATGAAGAGAGCTGATCCAAACTCAAACCTGGGAGAGAACAGAGGAAGAAAGTGAATGCCATTAAGTAATGCCCCTGTATAACAGCGTTAGCATGCTCACACAAAGCGGAAGGGAGCTGAAATTGGGATAGAGGTGGCTTCCTGCAAGGCAGCAGTTTGGAGGAGCCCGAGACTCGGCTGACCCTCGAAGCCCAGAGCTTTGTATGCTGGGTTAGTCCAGTCCGTCAGCTCACCCTGCATGACCGCAGCAAGGCCAAGCTCTGTGCAAACCAGGCCTTCAGCATTTAGTGGAGGAAAAATGCAGAAGTGACAGCAGTTAGGACTCTGGCAGTGATGCTGCCTCAAAGCCAAGAATTATGAGCCACACGGATGAGATCTGGTCCTCATGCTCTTTCTGCAGAGTTTGAAGCCAACCCAGTCAGCTCAGGAAATTTTCTTTGTTTTGAGACTCTGCTACTCAAAACTAAGCCCCGTGAGAATATGCCATGCTATATTTCAGAGTTGTATCAAATGGGTCAGTACCTGGTGTTGACAGGGGTGAAAGGGTCATAAAAGGCCCGAGCCACTCTGTTGCCATACCATGACGTGGCCACCAGCGCTGCCAAACCTGCACATGAAGGAAACAATGTCACCACTCATCAAGAAAAAACAATCAACAAAATAGCTACAGAAGTAAATGTGCATCTGGAGTGATGCTGAGCTGCTCCTGCCCTGGGAAGTTCTGAATTGATACTTTGTGCTTGTTGGGAGAGAAATTAAGAAAGAATTTGAGTCCACCCACAGTTGCACTGCACCAGAAGCAGGACTGCTGGTAGCCCTCCACTGAAGCAGGTGTACAGGTCAAACTCAGCTCTGCTAACAGAGATGGAAGGCATACAGTCCATATAGAAAGTGTAATGCTAGTGCCAGAAGACCCATTTGATGCCTCGGATTGGCACAGTACCTGTTGGCTATGTCCACTAGGGAATTCCCAGCCCAAAATGCTTGTGAAGCAATGACAGCAAGCCCTCCCCCATCCAGTATAAATGCTGTTTAGAAGATGGCACATTGAACACTAAACACATCTGTAAGTTACCAACCTGCAATGATGAAGATCACCCCACCGAAGACAGCCATCCGCATCTTCTTCACCTGGTCATCTTCCATGCACTTCATGCATTTCATCCCAGTCACAGCCACAAATACAGCCACGAGGCCCAGGAGTATTGAAGCCACCATCAAAGCCCGAGTGGCCTGCAGACTGCCTAGAAGGCATTAGGATTTGAGTTACCACAAAGAAAACTCAATACACAAATAGAAATTCAAATTACTGGGCTCAGTAATCATGTGTCAAAATACTCTGCTCCCTGTTACACAGGACACACACAACCAAGCAAGACTTTCCTTCCTAGCTTTAAGCTCCCAGAGACTGTCAAGCATCAGGATCAGAGAACTTTCAGCCTCTTCTGAAATGCATGGCAAACAAGGTCATGCAGCTTTTTGCAGGAAATGACCTGGGAATTGCCCTCAGACATCTTTTGTTCCTTGATCATTTGAATCCCTATTGGCAGGGCATATCTGTTTATCAAAAGAAGTATTCAGATTTATGCTCCACCTTGACAAAGCATTTAGGCACATGTTTTAATATGAATAGTGCCATACATATGAATAGTCCCACAGCAGACAGCAAGGCCCCTTTATTGCTCAACACTTCCAAAACCTGTCTTGTATACAAGTGCCTCAGTGCTGATTTAGAGATTTTTTTTTTTTGTGCTAAATCCTCAGTTTGAGTCCCAGAGGGTACAAAAACACAACTGCAACAGAAACACGATTTTCCCAGCCAAGTGAAAAATAGGGCGGTTTTTTTACTACCTAAAATATTGCAGACACACTCAGTGTACTTTCTCCAAGATCTGTTTTCATATTGACTCATCTGAAGGCATAAACACTATGTATGTGAGCGACTGAATTCAGATTTTCTTGATACCAAAGGAGAAAGAAAACGATGGTATAAAGTCATTACTGAACAAACCTCAGGTGACAGAACACCTGAATAGCAGTGAAATAAGAGCCTGAGCTTTAGGCCTGGCAAATCAGGTTTGTTTGAACAGCACAGATTTTAATATACACTCCTGTTAAGATCTGGGAACAAACAGGGATGGCTAATTGAAGGAACAAACTTCCAGGAGCATGCTGTAATCGAGGCAAAAGTGTCCCCTGACCCAGGCTGTTTAGCAGTGGCACATGTAGAGTTTCAGTCAAGTTTCACCAGAATCTGTTCCGAAGTCTGGAGGTCACCCCTGAAAAAAGCACACTGGCTGCATTCTGCTGGAGCTCTGCAAGGCACTTCAAGCTCACACCAGAGCACCTGCAAGCTCCTCGGTCAGCGCCGAGCACTGGTCCAGCGAACCCACCAGAGCCTGCACTGCAACAACGAGCTCCCTGGCTCAACCCAAAACCCAGAGAGGAGCTCACACCTGACACTGGCCCGGACGGTAGCACAGCTGCACGCCTACCCTCTGCAGCTTCTTTACTATGCTTTGCCCTACAGCACTGCTTGTGCAGGAAAATCCTTGTGACCCACACCAACAACAGGCTATCAGGCTCTGGTTCTGCTTTAAAACAGATCTGGATCTGTCTCTACACACACCTCCTTATTGTTGTGTAAATAATTACGAAACCAGTTAAAAACAATAGACTAAAAAGGCAATATTCAGAGCAATAGGAAGTGACACAACTTTCCTAAGAACAGTCTTGGCTTTCTTGGGAAAAATCCCACAATCAGCTTGCCTCTCACTTCCCTCAAAGGGGAAGGGTGACACCTCTGCTCCGCCCAGGTGCTCACCAAAACCCATCTGTTGCACTGACTGCAGAAACCCATTTACAGAGCCATTTACCACTTTAGCATAAATCACAACAGCCGTATCCAAACATGTCTTTAATAGATTTATCTCCAATGTCAGAGATTACGCTCTAAAAATAATTTCTAACCTACAAAAGTTATGCCATCTTTCAGAAAGACTTCAGCTGACAGGTTACCACCCAGGCAACCAATTCAGCTGCCATACATTTAAAACCAAATTGTGCATTACAGCAGCAGCTCTGTAGAGTCCAATGGCTGAATAGATGACCCACAGAGGTCCCTTCCAACCCCTACTATTCTGTGATTCTGTGAACACTAGTTCCTACTTTGCATGGGAAAGGACATTTTCTACAGAGGTACCAGATCTGTTTCATGGAGTCTACAGTAAGCTGGGCTTAGTCTTGCTGCAGAAGAAATTACTTTACAGTAGAGGGTTTTGGAAGAGTTCATTCATGAAGCTGAGAATAGGAAATGTTATCTCAAACAACTAGAATACTAGTTATAAGCATGGAAATAGACCTATGACCTCCAAACACAGTACTAAGGGACAAACACAGGAAGATGCTTGAAAAAGTTGCTATGACCTCAGAAGACCTACCTATGAAACCTGCTAAAATCTCAAGATGTACCAGTATTAACTGGATGCATGTCAGGACAGCATTGCAGGAGCAGCCGAAAAAAAACCAGCGCTGTGAGCATTTCCCAGGGCTGCCTGCTTTCAGCAGCAGACCCTGGAGGGACATCTCCTGGCGTCCTCACCGCTCCCTTACGCGTGGCTCCATGGACAGAAGCATTCAGGAAGCTCACAGTAGGACAGAAGAACAGGTTGCAGCATTTGCAGAACAGACTGTCCCTTTATCCCAAGAAGCTCCAGTGTGACATGACGGTATTAGCCAACCATCCTCCCCTCAGCCCGGCGCGGCTGCACTGTGTGTGTAGCACGCACTGGGAGACAGCGCTTTTGTCTTCCTACCACTTTTGCAATGTGTGGAGTACATTGACTGCAGTTAATCATCACACAAGCTATTAGTTATTATGTACACATTAACAACTGCGTTGTCAATGGAAGCTGCACATCCAGAGGCTGAGAAAGCTAGTTTAACAGTAGCTCTGTTGTTCACATGGGCCTTTCCAAACCCCAGATGATATAACATTGTATTAACCTGCTAAACAGGACTGGCTACTGACAAGTGGAAGTACTCCACAGCAATCTAACTTTACAACTATTATCATATTAGAGAGAAAGAGGATTTCCCCCACACTCCTTGCCACTGCAGGTCTCACGCCGTGCAACGCCTGTAGCCTCCCACACCACACCCCGCGGCTGGCTGCCAGAAAGACCAGAGAGTCTCAGCAGCCCTTGGGGATAAAACAGTCTGGTGCAAGGTGAGGCAAACTGGCCTGGCATCCAACAACAGTTGTCGGATGGCAACAGTATTTTGTCAATATAAACCACTATTGACTCAGAATCAAAGCCTTTTTATTGCTGGTTAGTAATGAGAGACCTGGCCTGAAAAGCCTACAGCAAGAAAGCAGCAAGAGCTGAAGGACAGAAGCTTAAAACTACTGAGAAAGGTTAATAACGAATGTGAATTCTGCAAGTCATAAAATACTGTGTAAGTCCACAAAAACACCTGTTCCACATAATGAAACCCCCTTTCTTAAAAAGATGCTAACAGTTATGACTTATTATTAGCGAGTTTGGACACAAACTACATGATGCATTTTATCTGAAGCCTTCATAAGACTTTCTCCTTCCCACAACTATGGATTTACCTGACACAGACCTGTAATTGCTGGCAACTGTCATAAAAAAAGACTTCACCGGCATATGGCCTATGTTTGAGATTATTTTTCCTATCATCACATTTCCTTATTTATTCTGTTTATGTCATCTACATTACAGAAAAGCTATTGGGAAAGTGCCAGGGGATTTTTGCAATGCCTGTTTGTAATGCAAAATTGCTGTAATGGCTTTGTGTGCAGATTATTTTCTGATAGGGATGCTCATTGACTGCCTTGTTTGTATTTTAACTATGGACATTTCCTTCCCTTCCCATGGGCCACCATGCAACCAAGTGATGAAGAATACAGGTGAAACAGATGCTGTGCAGCTCCCTCTAATCTCTGCAAGAGAAGTTCCCCAAGCATTATAAGTACCCCTGTAGTGTAGGAAGCATGTTACACGGTCCACCTCCAAGAGAAGTCAGCAGCCTTCAAATCTTTCCCACCACGGTTTCATAAAAGCTGAATCTCCTGGAAGGAGTGGGATCTGAGATCCTGCTGTTCTGCCCTGCCAGTATGTGACAGTTACTTCTGTGCAGCAAGCAAGGGAATGAAGATCTGAGCAAGCTGCCCCACCTTCAGAGGGAGGCAGCAAACATATCTCACTTTGCAGTCATTTTGTCTGGACCCAAAAGCCTGCTTAATGGCTTGGAGGCTTTCAACCCCCTTACCAGCCCCTGCAAAGACCCTGCACACCTGCCACCATCAGATATTCCAGTCTGGACTCCTTCAAAGTGCCTCCCAACAAGTCTAGAAGACTGTACAGAGGAATCTGGGCAGGACACAGAATCAGACAGGGTTGTGTTTCCCAAAATGGGAAGGCTGGGAAGTCCTCACTGCATGTCCAGTGCAAAAGAGGTAAGTTCAGTAGGTGGTAGTGGCCTTACACTCTGCCCCAAAGCAAACCAGATTCAATGCCCCTCCGCAGTCACTCAAATGCAGTCACTCAAACGGCAGATGAAGGCTTGCTGGTAAGACAGGCACCACACAGTACCACCATTTCCAGATTCCTGGTCAGAGGAGACCTGGGCAGACTGTTTTCCCACAAAGCCTGGAAATTCCCTTACCAAGAGGTTTAGTAACACTTAGTAACCCTAGCTACTAAAGCTGCTTAGAAGCTGCTTGTAGAGCAATAAAGCCAGTGTATTGCAACAGACGCCCATCCCCTCTTGCTGAAACGACACAGCACCACACAGGAACAGCCTCGGTGGCATTCCAAGGAACACTCTACCTTGTCAAAGCGCAGCACAAGTAAGGCTGTTTTATCACTCGATCATGATTTTTCATGAGGAAGGAACAGCGATTGAGAAACATATGAGCAAATTAACCCTTAACCCACATGAAAGCACAGATACCAGCAGGTTCTACCTGCTCACTCCAGATCTAAAGGTACAGAGATGACAAACTACTGGGACACACTTGTCCCTCGAACTATAGCTTTGTCTGTCCCTGGACCACCCTCCTAACTCCCCCACCATGAGGGCAGACCAGTAGTAACCTGAGCATGAACCCTTCCTTTCCCCCCCACCATCCTCTTCCCCAGCTCCTGAACAGGCTCAACCGGGGTGGTAAAGATGTAGGAGTGAAAATTTCACATTTCAGTGATGCTGTTTGACCCAGAGGGCATCCAAACCCTTGTTTATTTTCTGGGCTAGGGCACAAAGGCTCATTGTGGATGTACTAGATTTAGTGATGATGTGGTAGAGGAGTCTCAGCTTGTCTCAAGCACAGGACCTCCCCCCAGCAAAGCCAAACAAGGCAATGAGTGTCTACTGCTAGAACAGCCTAGACAGGACCCAGAACAACGTCTACTCTGAGCAGGAGAGTGTGGTTAGGTGTTCCTGAGTTTCCAGAGACAGGGACCAGGAGCCCTTCTCCTTCCTGTCTGAGACCATGCCCCGGAGATCCCGGAGGAGGACAAAGCTCAGCTAAGCTCCATGGACGATGCTGGAGGGCTACAAGAACAATGCTGAGGCTCTGCAAAAAAGCCTTGTTGCAAGGGTGGCTTTTGTTGCCTCTGTGTCTGCATGTGGCCACGCACGGCTTTTCACGTAAGCCAGCAAAACGCAGCCTTTCTATTGCCTGAATAGGAGCACTGACATAAGCCCTCAGCTGAACGCAGCTGCGGGAGAAGTGCCAGCATGGGTGCACTCCAGCAGCATGGCCACACGGGAAGCTGGAGGCCCCTCCATTGGCTAACGGTGCTTATCGGCTTGTGCCAACCCCATCTCAGACATGCAGCATTGGTCCAAGCAGCCACACACTGGCACATCTAGAGGAATGACAGTAGCTACCAGATATGCAAAAGCTTTCTGGCAAAGCTTTCCAGTGTTCCCACAACCGTGAATCGCCGCAGGTGCGAGGAGGCTCAGTCCTTTCTACAAGGACAAAGTAATTACAGATCTGAGCCTGTCCCATCTGTGCGTGAGGCTCTGATGTGTGGCTCAGAGCACTCGGGGCACGTGAAGCTCTGGCAGGAAAGCATAGCTAGAAGTTTTTCTGCCCACGTAGCTGTACCACCTTCACCATGACAAAGAAAAACAGCCAGGGAGCTGTTGCTGCGCCTGTCTCAGGGTGCGGCTGTCGAATTGGGTATAAATGGGGTTTTTTGCACCTCCACCCAAAACAGGACTGCTGGACCCTGTCCAAGCCCATGTGGCTGCAAGACCTTGAAGGGAGACCAGGCAGGGAAAACAGCAGATAAGATGGATGTCCCTAGGCACGACCTGCTTTCAAGCAGGAGAGGTGCAGCCTGAGCAAGCTGAGGTGTGAACGAACCAGGAGTCCTTTAGCCGGCCCTCACCGACTTTCGCATGAAGAAAACATCCTCTGGGATTTCTATATTCCTTGGGCTTCCTGGGAATTCTCAGGCAAGCGTGCCCTGCAGGGCCAGGGGCTCTGTCGGAGGACAAAAGGCCACCAAGAGCTGAGCCTCGGCCCCCAGCACCTCGCACCTCCTTCCCCCTCAGCCCTGCAAGAGAAGAGCCCTCATTGTTTGCTGGACAAAGGTGAGGGGAGCAGCTGGTTTTCAGTGAATGGGGCAGGTCTGGAGGTCCTGGGGCAGGTTTTCAGGAGTCCGTTCAAGCCAGGCTCCGCGTCTGATTCTGCGGGCAGGTCTCATTTACAGCACAATGGGCTGCAGCCACACAGGCCCCCCCGAGGCAAGTTTACCTTTCGCAACCCATCCAGGGGGTGGCTGGAGATTCCTCAGCGCTGCTGGCATCTTCGCCCCCCACCCCCAGTGCGAGATAAGAGGCTTGAAGTTGAGCTCACACATAATTACTACTCAAACCACCCTGGACTGCGTGCTTAGCCCAGCCCTGATTACCCACAGCCCTGCACCCTGTTAGTGCAAAGTGGGTGCACCCCACTCCTTGACGGGAGCAATTTGCACCTCTTCCAGCTGCAGGGCCCACGGGTGTTCGGGGCAAGGGAGCAGGAGTGATTAATGTGGGCTAGCAATGAAGGTGGGGTCCGGGGTGTCCGGCTTCACTGCATGACACACAGGAAGGGTTGGTGGCAATCTAACTCGGGGATACTCCCCCACGGTCCCTGGTGTGTGAGAAACTGCCTGCTCAACCCTTTGGGAAAGGGAAGGTGACCAAGGGGGTAATTATTCTTTTATTAATTAGGGAGGGACACGGATGAAGCTGTTCCAGGACACTGCTGGACTCGGGATAAGGGGAGGAATATTGAGAAAGGTGGTTTTTTTGAACCCCTTTGGGTGCCAGCTTAAGTTATACAGTCCAGCGCTCTGAGCGGCCCTCACCGGGGTTCCATCTCGGCGTGACCCCCCCGAGCGACCCCCCCGCAAGCCAGGC